GGCAGGGAGGCAAGTGAGCAAGTTATTGCAAAATTCCAGGGAGGAGACCATGGAGACTAGGACCCAGGAGGGAGTAATGACAGTGTGAAAGAGTTGGATTCTAGGTACATGTCAATGCTAGAGCCCTCAAGATCTCTCAGTGGGTTGGTCGTAGAGGTGACAGACAAGGAGAAAAGAGAAAAATGACACCAAGGTTCAATTGCTTGCTTGCTTTATTGATTTGTATGAGGGCTACCAAAATGTTGAGACCCCTAGTGGCTGCCATGGAGATGATTCTAGGAGAAGCCCGTGTGGGTTCTGATGTATCAAGTCTGGGAGACCTTCAGGAAGCCCAAGTGCAGACGAAGAGTGGAGAGATCATAGACAAGGTCTAAGCATGTAAGTCCTTGATAGACAAGAACATAGAGATTTCATTTCAAGGCAAGGAACTAAGGGATTGCGTGTAAAGAAAACAGATCCGATCGTGGACAAACTGTGGCAACCCTTGATCCGGAAATTCTCTCCGTTGCAAGGGAAGACACAAAGCAGGACCATTATGTGATGTCAGGTAAAGCCACACTAGTAGGTTAATGACGTGCAAATCGCCTGATTCACCGCCCTCTAGGAAGACAGTTTTAGTGCCTTTTGTGGATTAGTCAGATAATTATAGACAGCTGCTCCCCTCCCCCCACCCCCAAATAGTAACATCAACATTCCTGAACAAACAGGGCACCCAGGGTGCAGCCTGAGGCCGGCATGAACCCACGGAGAGGACGACAGGCCATCAAGACCGGATGGTAACTGAGACTTTTAAGTTAATTCAATCAAGCTTTTTGACATTTAAAGAAAAGAGTGAGTCTGTACATATTTGATGGCTTAATCACTTAAAATGTGTAAGATCGCAACTAAAGGCAGCCACTTGTTTGTGACCCACTTGCACGGGGATGTTCTTGGAACATTTCCCATCCCATTGAAAAATACACACACACACACACGTGTGCGTGCATATTATTTAAATTTTGTGAAAGCTTCACCCAACAAAATAATAGAAAGCTGCATAAACACTTATTCGCTTGGACACCTCTAGGAAAGATGAGGAAGTCCACAATCCCTACCTGTTGTCACCACTCCTAACTTGTCTTTGATAAAGAAGACAACACAGCTGGGACCAACGCTCCATCCTTTCATTGCATTCTCTCAGATACTATCTCACTTAACACTCCCAACGACCTCGCTACGTAGTGTTCACTGCACAGTCTACACAACAGTGGCCAAGACTATCTCACTTAACACTCCCAACGACCTCGCTACGTAGTGTTCACTGCACAGTCTACACAACAGTGGCCAAGACTATCTCACTTAACACTCCCAACGACCTCGCTACGTAGTGTTCACTGCACAGTCTACACAACAGTGGCCAAGACTATCTCACTTAACACTCCCAACGACCTCGCTACGTAGTGTTCACTGCACAGTCTACACAACAGTGGCCAAGACTATCTCACTTAACACTCCCAACGACCTCGCTACGTAGTGTTCACTGCACAGTCTACACAACAGTGGCCAAGACTATCTCACTTAACACTCCCAACGACCTCGCTACGTAGTGTTCACTGCACAGTCTACACAACAGTGGCCAAGACTATCTCACTTAACACTCCCAACGACCTCGCTACGTAGTGTTCACTGCACAGTCTACACAACAGTGGCCAAGACTATCTCACTTAACACTCCCAACGACATCGCTACGTAGTGTTCACTGTACAGCCTACACAACAGTGGCCAAGAGAGGTCAAGGGTCATAGGGCTAACAAATAATAGAAGGAGAATTTGCCCCCTTCTCCTCTTTTTCCATACCTGAGAAAGCATTTCCAGGCACGACAGCTGCTTCCTATGAAATGCTGTTTTCCTGTTTATTTATAAGCCCTCCTAAACATGGTTGTGATCTACAGATGCTTGTCTGGATTCCAGTCATAAAACCACCCTTGTATTATTACAGTTCTTAAAGAGGGCTATGAACGTCAGGGTCACACATTCATATACAGGTCAACGTGAATGTACACGTCGCGTGCTGTTCTAGGCTATGTGGAGCCTAGATTAACACCACCAACATTCCTCCCGTTGGACAGAGGGGCCCTATGCCACTTCTCTGAGCATCCTTCACTGTCACCTGCAGCTTCCATTAAAACTTTGTTCCACACCGTGTCCTGGCAACTACTTAATCAGCCTCCTCTAAACCATGTCATAGGAACACTGTTAAAAACGAACTGGGGATGGGAACCAGCAGTTAGCGTAATGGTTATGTCGCTGGATTCCCACGTAGTCGACCGCGGTTCGTGTCCCCGACCCGGTGGCTTAAAACTCACGCCAGGCGCGTGTGCGTGCGTGCCCAAGATCCCGAGAGGAGAATGGAGGAGAAGGGATTGCGGCGTGACCATCCCCCCTGGGGGGTGATTTCTCGCTTTCTGTCTCTATGTCTCTCTCTGTCTGTCTGGCAAGCGCACGCGCCCTACAGTGAAAATCTCTCCAAAAAAAAAAAAAAAAAAAAAAAAAAAAAAAACAGGG